TTTTTAACATTGAATTCTTTAAAAAATTATTATTATTTTTTTTTTCCAGTGGAACCGGAGATTGAACTCAGGTCCTTGTGCTTGCCAGGCAAGTGCTTATTCCACTGAGCTATCTCCCTGGCCCCTAAAAAATTATTTTTAAAAATTGAAATATTAAAAAGTTGAGAAGCTAATATAAAGCCCTATTAAAGACTTTTTGGTGCCAAAATACTGGATAAAAAGTTGGTGTATGTATTCCCTAGAATTCTTGTGATACCAGAATATTGTCTCCCTAAGAGACTTAACTGTTGTGGGAAAACATACTTTTTACAAAAATAAAGATCTGATTACACTGAACCCAAGCAGACAAACAGGCACAGTTATTTGTGGTGCAATTTGAATTGTGCTACATCATGAATGAAGTGTTCTCATCAAAGTTTTAACTGGGCTGTGTTCAAGCCCTAAGAGCTAATTTCTCTTTGTAGGAAATACTGGGTATAGAGCAACAAGTCAAATGATACTGCTCAGGGAAGACTCAGACAGGTGCAGACGGAGGTGTTGTAGAAAATAAGTGGCTTAACCTCTTGCAAACACTATTGTAAGAAAAGAACAAAGGAGGTGGGTGGTAACTAACTATTCTTGATTAGAAGTGAAGAGCCATTCAGCCGAGTACAACATGGGATCTTTATTTTTGTTTTGTTTTTGTGGTGCCAGAAATCAACCTAGGGCCTCATACTGCCTGAGCACAACACATTCTGTTGCTGACCTACACGCCCGCGTCCAAGCACCCTGGCTACCAGTGTGGGGTCCTTGATGGCCTCCACCATCCGTAAACACCTTGGAGCGGGAACTGAGGGAGTCTGTATACAGTTTGAAAATAAGCTGGAGTTTCAGTTAGGTCATCAATCCTCACTTTATGAGCTGTGATAAAATTGTCATTTATAGGTTATCGTACTTGGTGTCCTAGAGTATTCAGGAGTGAAATGTTAAATATATTGAAATGGTTTAGCAAAGTATGTGTATGTGTGAAACATAGATGGCAAGACATTAACCAATCTAACTGCTATGTACATGGATGCTTGATATACTGCTTTTTCTATTTTTTGTATGTTTAAAAGTCCATAATAAATTTTTAGTTTTTTAAAATCAGACACGTGTATGTTATTATGTTCCTTATTTGCATATTATTTTACATTTGGCTTGTTGTGTTTTGTGGTGCCGGGACGAGCGAGGGCCAGTGTGTGCGAGGCGAGTGTCTCCTGTGGGACTGCACTGTGGCCCCGGGCTCCGAGCTTTGCCGGCCCGGCCATGTCTTGGAGTGATGCCTGCAACGCATTTTGCATGTGTGCCCCCACTGGAGTCCCATTTTTTTTCTGTTTTTAATATTATTTCTGTTAGATTAGCTGTCTGCAGAATAGACCATTATTCTTTTAGTTGTGAATAACATCACAAATTTTCAGATATGTACTAACTGGATTCTGTTTTGTCAGTTTTAAGAGAAATTTCTATATTGTAACCATTTGTTACGAAATTTTGGATGTTATGATTCGTCATAGATATTTCTTTGGGGAAGGTTTTTTTTTTTAACATTTATTTATTTGTGTGTGTGTGTGTGTGTGTGTGTGTGTGGGTGGGTGGCCAGCTCAGCCCACCAGGGGGTGGGGCTGGCTGGCATGTGGTGCTGGGGGATCGAACCGTGGTCCCTGTGCTTTGCAAAGCTTGTTCCAAGTAGGTGCTCTAGACCACTGAGCCATCTCACCAGCCCCCTGGGGAGGGATTTTTTAAATTAAGTTTATTGGTACAATTTAGGTATACATATTAATCACATTTCTTGGATATTTTGGTTTCTTTGAAAAACTTTTGATAGCTGCCATCTTGGGCCCCCGCACATGTGTGCCTAATCTCAGCTGGTCCGCCCGAGACCCCCTGAGTGCCAGCCCTAGTCCCCCGTGCTGCCCCATATCCACTCCGACAAGATGAAAGAAACTATCATGAACCAGGAAAAACTCGCCAAACTGCAGGAACAAGTGCGCATTGGTGGGAAAGGAACTGCTCGCCGAAAGAAGAAGGTGGCTCATAGAACGGTCACAGCAGATGATAAAAAACTTCAGTTCTCATTGAAGAAGTTAGGGGTAAACAATATCTCTGGTATTGAAGAGGTGAATATGTTTACAAACCAGGGAACAGTTATCCACTTCAACAACCCAAAAGTTCAGGCATCTCTGGCAGCAAACACTTTCACCATTACAGGCCATGCTGAGATGAAACAACCGACAGAAATGCTACCCAGCATACTGAACCAGCTTGGTGCAGACAGTCTGACTAGCTTAAGGAGACGGGCTGAAGCTCTGCCCAAACAATCTGTGGATGGAAAAGCACCGCTTGCTACTGGAGAAGAGGATGATGATGAGGTTCCAGATCTTGTGGAGAATTTTGATGAGGCTTCTAAGAATGAGGCAAACTGAACTAAGTCAGTTTCTGAAAAAGATCAAACTTGGAAGAAATTACTGGGAGCTGCTATTTTATATTATGACTGCTTTTTAAAATTGTTTTGTTTATGGATCTGATAAAATCTAGATCTCTGATATTTTTTAAGCCCAAGCCCCTTGGACACTGCAGCTCTTTTCAGTTTTTGCTTACATACAATTCATTCTTTGCAGCCAATTAAGCTGGAGAAGCCTGGGAATAAAGTTTGAAACACATTAATTAAAAAAAAAAAAAAGAAAGAAAGAAAAGAAAAAGAAAAACTTTTGAGACCAAGTGTTGCTGTGTAGCCCAGGCTGGCCTCAAACTCACCAGCCCTGCCTCAGCCTCCTGAGTACTCAGATTACAGGCATGCACCAACATACCTGGCTGGAAATTAAATTTTTGGAAATCAGCTTTTATTTTCCATTTTCAGAACGGGAGATATAGTCCTAGGAAGATTGTGTTTGTTTATTTTTGGCAGAACCAGGGATTGAACTCTGGCCCCTGCACTTGCTGTGTTTGTTTGTTTATTGTTTTCTGTGTAGAATCTTGTGAATTTCTTAAAATAGTTTTAGGATTGGTATTGAGGCTTCCCTAGGAAAGGAAGAGTGTGGTTTTTTTTTTTTTTTTAGCGCAGAATGACCTCAGGGCAGGTTTGGCTGGCTTGAGTTGTGGTGATCGAACCACAGCAACCTGAGCCTGACTGCTTTGTTGAAGCAGCCACTTAAAGGACTGAGCTAAGGGGCAGGCCCCCAAGAGTGTGTTTAAAATTACATAATTCATCACATTTTAAAGTATATCTCCAGTACCACACCAAAACACTTTTGAAGTGTAATTATTGGATTAATGTCATTTTTATTCAGTTAAAGTTCTTTAGTTGGTCATTCAGTGAGCTGTGAAGGAATAAATAGAAAAACTACACAATAAATGAGTTAGACTATTCCCGGTACACTGTGCTTTAAGTAAGTTCTAGTAGATTCAGCTTTTCATTGCAAAAGAAACCAGAAACTGTCACGTGGAAGTTTTCTTCCTTTTATAAGTAACCTGGTAGCCTTCTGAGTGAACTCTGTATGGTGGGTGTATTATTGCATTTAATTTTTTTAAAAAATTTATGTATTTGGTACAGAGTCTCACTACACAGCTCAGACTTGAATGATCTTCCTGTTTTCAGCCTCCTCAGTGCTGGGATTACAGGCGTGCACCACCATGCCAGGACTCAGTCACAGGTTCAGCATGCCCTAGGGCAGGTGTGGCATGCGTTGGGGTGGGGCTGAGGATCAAACCCTGGTCCCTGTGCTTGCCAAAGCAGGCATGTAGTCTGCCGAGCTATCTCGCCGACGCTCATTTAATCTTTAAGAATGTTGTGCTTTTTTTTTGCGATACTGGGGATTGAACACAGGACCTTGCACTTGCCAGGCAGGTGCTTATTCTACTGAGCCATCTCCCCAGCTCATTTAATCTTTAATACCATCAAGTTAGAATACATTTCTCACAGGTGAGAAAGTGGCTTCTGGCCAGGACTTCAGCGCAGCCTGAAGACTCCACCTCCACCGGCAGCTGCGCTTGCACACCTGTGACGTAGGGCAAGGGTGAGGACCTCTGTGAGGTTCCTACAGATTTTCACTCCTCTTCAAGCCATCCTCTGCTCCCTGCCTGCTCAGGCTCCAGCACCTGGTCTGAGGCCTGAGAAGCAGCTAGCTGCTTGGGCTGGGAACCCGCTGCTGCCTCGGCTGCTCTGTGCTGCAGGCTGGAAGCCACGCCAGCCAGGAGGACTTGGAAATTCATGTCCAGGGCCCGCTCCTACCCAGTGCCTGCAAACAGTCACATCGCAGATTTGCTGTTTTGTAGTCTGCAACAGAACAAGAGGAAAATGCATCCACCTCCAGTTCTTCTAAACATTTGTCATCACTTCATGGATGATTGGCTGGATGACCCAGTTTGCTGAGTCATTTTTCCACTTGACTTACTTTTTCTGGTACTGGAGATTGAATTCAGAGCTATGTCCTTGGCCACTTTTCATTTTGAGGCAGAGTCTTGCTGTGTTGCCTGGGGTAAGTTGCCTTGTTGAGCTGAAGTTGAGATGCTACTGCCTTAGCCTCTTGGGACCCTGAGGTGACAGGCACACAGCTCCATGTCTACCACCATCCCCATTTTATTTTATTTATCTTAATTTTTTAAAAAATGTATTTGGGGGGGCGGGGAGATGGCTCAGTGGAATAAGCGCTTCCCTGGCAAGCGCAAGGTCCTGAGTTCAATCCCCAGTTCCGCAAAAAAAAAAAAAAAAAAAGGTATTTGGTTGTTGCAGGGTCTCACTACGCATCCTTGCGCTTGCCAGGGAAGTACTTATTCCACTGAGCCGAATCCCAGGCCCACCATCCCCTTTTAGAACAGCACTTTTTTTTTCCTTATGGAACCGGGGATTGAACTCCGGCCCTTGCAGATGCCAGGAAAGCATTTATTCTACTGAGCCATCTCGAGATCCCAGCCCTAGAACAGCACTTTTTCTCCCTTTCTGGCAATGTGGGGAGGGCCTAGCACATACCACACAAGCACTCTACCTACACTCTCCCTAGAACAATTTTTCCGTCATCACTTTTCTGAATAATTAGTCTCTTCTACTGGTTAAGAGAAAGTATATTAAGCAGTGCTAAAGTATACCTCGCAGATGCATGAGACAAGTGGCGTTACAGCCACATTTTTCTACATGAACATAAGTCTGTTTTGGGTCTTTTCTGCTTAACAGTTTCATAGGAAAAATTTTGTAGATTGACAATTAATTTTGTACCCGGCTCCTCCCTTCTGAGTAGTTCTATGCATATTACATGTTGCCACATTGTGTCCTACAAAGAGGAGCAAACCAGCTAACAAAGCCTGCTTCCTGCAAGCCCAGCTAATTTTTACAATCTCTGCCGGTGGTATTTTAACCACTTACCAATTATTTAAATATAGAATGACCAAAATGGCATTTTTTTTTTCATGACTTTTTATAAGATAATGTAACAGGGAATGTAAAAACAGTGTTACCAACGCAAGAACCAACTGGTTGACATGACACCCGCCCGAGTGACATTTGCAACGGTCAGTGCAGAAAAGCCATGTTGCCCGACTCGGGCGGTGGTTCAGTGACTTAAGTATTCTTTCTCAGGCCAGCCAGATGGCTCAGTGGATTAAAGCGCTTGCTTAGGCAGACACAGGACCGGGGCTCCAGGGACTGGGGTTTGATACTCCGGCATCCTGTGCCGGCCCCACACCTGGGGCACGATAAGACAGCGACTGAGACTGAGTGTGGTGGTGCGCACCTGCAGCCCCAGTGCTTGGGAGGCTGAAAACAGAAGGATCACTACGTGTCTGATCTGTGTGGTCAGACTCTATAGACCCTATACTAAATACAAAAAATAAAAAATTCTTTCCCCATTGTTAGGATCATTTATAAAAGTTCAGTTTATTTTATAACATAATTCAGTTGAATCCTTTAGTTGCTTGAAAAAAGCAACATTATCGCTTTGGCATATGTGGACTACTCAGATGGAAAGATGGGAACTGTATTCTGCCTGCCATATGCATAAATATGTATGTGTGTCAATATTCTACTTATATTTTTGTTACATATACATTATTTGCAAATAAAAAATGTGCAAGTAAAATGTGATTTTTATTATTGCTACCCCTTAAATTTTAAGTTTTGGGGCTGTGGAGATAGCTCAGTAAGCGCAAAGGCCTGAGTTCAATCCCTGGTTCCGCCAAAAGAAGTAAAACATCATGAGGATTAATGAGTTTGCATCTAGACTAGGTTGTATCTTCATTATGTTGGTTGTTTTCTTTTTCTTTCTTTCTTTTCTTTTTTTTTTTTTTTTTGTGGAACCGGGGATTGAACTCAGGCCCTTGCACTTCCTAGGGAAGCGCTTATTCCACTAAGCCATCTCCCCGGCCCCATGTTTTCTGTTTCTGCGCAGAAGCTTTTTAATTTGCTATGATCGCATTTACTGAGGTTTTTTTTTTTTGAGACAGTGTTTTGCTGTGTAGCTTAGGCTAGCCTTGAACTAATGGCAGTTCTCCTACCTAAGCCTCTTGAGTGCTAGGATTATGTGCCACCACACCTGACATTGTTCGTCAATTAATTAATGTATTTATTTTAATGTATTTGGTACGGTGTCTCACTCTGCAGCTCTGACTCACAGTGATCCTCCCGTTTTCCGCCTCCCCAGCACTGGGATTATTGGCATGCAGTACTACGCCCGGCCGTGATGGCTAGCCCAGCATACCTGGGCTGGCGCGGCATGTGGTGCTGGGCATCGAACCCCAGTCCCTGCACTTGCCTAAGCACGTGCTTAGTCTACAGAGCTATCTTATCAGCTTGTCAGTCTGTGCCTGGCAGAAGAGGTGAGAGGCAAAAATCCCAGTTGCCCCTGTGATGGGAACTTTTTGACAGAGGGTGGTACCGAGGATTGAACTCAGGACTCTGCACTTGCAAGGCAAGCACTTACTCTACTGAGCTATCTCCCCAGGCCCAAGAGGGAACTTCTGAAAGCAGAGAGTTCTGTTCCATTGTCTACCAGGTAGTCACAGGTTTGCCCTTGACTTTTGTGATGACCACGGACTCTCAGGGGCACAGCTTGATAGAGCTTGGTCTGTTCTATCCATCCAGGCCTGGCAGGTTGAGGGAAGGTTCAGATTGAGGTAGGCCTGGGTAGTCATGTTTTTTTATGTCTCACAGGGGCCAGGGGCATTACTTCTTGTATCCATAGCCCTTAAAACTCATAGCCTGAGGGTATGGTCATGTCTCAGACTGGATTTTATTTTATTTTTATCAGGTTTCTGAGTAACAGTTGTTGATGGGCTTTTTGCTCCCCTTTTGATATCTTTGAGAAGTGCTTGCCTGGGTTTCTCGGCAGTTTGGAAAGGCCATGGCAGCTCATTTGTCAGGGCCCACAGTCCAAACTTGGAACTCGGAAGTGACGACAGTCATCTTGTGTGGGCTTTAGATGACGCCATCTGAGCAAGATCGGCATAAGCAGAGGGATGTGGAGGGAGGGTCTGTGTGGCCCAATGCAGGCAGTGGTTGCGTGGAGCCAGCTCAGCTGGCTGAAGTAGATAAGGTGGGAGTGGGGAGTGAAGCTCTGTGTGTGGGCAGCAACTGGTGGCCAGTGAGGTTGCCAAGATAGCATTCTCAGGAAGAGTAGGCCTTTTGTTTTGTTTTTTCTTGGAGATACAGGGAGTGATTTGGTTTCATCTTTAACTCCATAAAAGCCCTTTTTCTTGTAGTCAGGGACTGTTTTTTTTGTTTTTTTAAGTTTTTGGGGTCTGGGAGATGGTACAATAGAATAAGCACTTCCCTGGCAAGCGCAAGGGCCTGAGTTCAATCCTTGGTTCTGCCCAAAAAAACAAAGCTTTTGGTTGTTTTTTTTTTTTTTTTTTTTAACAACTGGGGATTGAACTCAGGCCCTTGCGCTTGTTAGGCAAGCACTTATTCTACTGAGCCATCTCCCCAGCCCGATTGTGGGTTTTGACTAGTTTTTATCTCTGACTTCCTACTCCTGCGTTGTGTACCCTTCAACGATGGGGCGACAGAAAAGGGATGGATGCCACTCTCTCAGAGAGAAGCTGGCCATTCAGTTGCCTGCCGGGATGCGCTCCTGGCGGAGCCTTAGGCATGACTTAGTTAAGGAGGCCTCATGGCCTCCCTTATGTCCTGTGTCTTTCACTGCGAAACTGCAGGCGAGGGCCTGATCAGCCACGGTGACCCGGGCGTCCCATCTTGTGCACATAGAGAGACGCTGTGCGTTGCCCTCACCCTCACAGACACCAAGAGATGAAGCAGTCCAATCCTTTCCCTTGAGGATGGTTGTGACCGAGAGTTGATGAGACCACCCTTTCTGCTCATGCTATGCAAGAATGACAGACTAAATGGAGTCCCCCCAGCGGTCCTCCAAGAATGAGGCAGACAGATAGACAAACTGCATCTCTTCATACGTACAGTGTGCGGTTGAGTCTGTCTCCAGCTATGGAAAGGAGCTGCTCCAGCTGGGGACAGGAGAACATGCTGGGAACTGGGTCAGGGCATGGGCGGCTCACTGTCCCCAGGATCCCATGGGGTCCTGTCCACGTGCACCTCCTTTGGTGTCTCTTTCCCTCTCCCTACTTCCGCCTTGCTGGCCTCCAGCTTCTTCTGCCCCTCAGGTGCGCTGTCCACTGCAGCTGCCCAAGCTGCTCTCCATGGGAGGTCCCCTCCGTTCTGCACCGTCTTCTGTGGTCATTGCTTGAGTTTAGTCTGAGGATTGGGGCCCTAGCATTCTCCCTGGTGCAGTTCACTGTCCATAAAGGGCTTAGTATGATCAGTATTCTTCTGGTCAGAGGTTTTTACTGAGCAGATGATTTTTTTATTTTTATTATTTTTTATTTTTTTAGGCTAGCCTTGAACTCACTGTGTAGCACAGGTTGGCCTCAAATTCTCAGTGATCCTCCTGCCTCAGCCTCTTGAGTGTTGCCATTATGGGAGCCCACTGAATGTTTTTGTTTGATGTACTTCACATTGAACCACATCCTTAGTCCCTATGCATGTATGATAGGATCTCGCTATGTTGCTCAGGCTGGGCTCAAGCTTGTGATCAGCCTCCCGGAATGCTGGCATTACAGGTGTGCACCAGTAGGCCCAGCTAAGGCAAATGAAATTGATTATGCCCCCTCTGTGCCTAGCATATTAGCTGTATGTTTTTGTTTTTGTTTTTTTTTTAACATTTATTTATTGTGTGTGGGGGGGCAGCTCAGCCCACCAGGGGGCGGGGCTGGCTGGCATGTGGTGCTGGGGGATCGAACCGCGGTCCCTGTGCTTTCCAAGCTTGTTCCAAGTAGGTGCTTTAGACCACTGAGCCATCTCTCCAGCCCTGTATTTGTTAAATAAATAAATATTCCATGTCTGGTAAGTAAGCTTTGCAAAATGAGATGTCTTGTGACTTAAGTTTTCTGGTATCATTTTTCTTTTTTCTTTTTGAATTTAGGGCAGGGTCTACAGTGTCTCACTACATAGATTGGACTCATAGTGATTCTCCTGCTTTCAGCCTCCCAAGTGCTAGGATTACAGGCGTGTGTCACCATGCCCAGTTTCAATTGGTGGGGCAGCTACAGCACGCAAGGATTGAACCCTGACCGCTGCCTAAGCAGGGGCTTTAGTGCGCTGAGCTATCTGGCCAGCCCTCACTGTATCATTTTTCATTACTATAGGATAACATTCTATGCATTCATATTTAAATTATCTTACGTGGCAGGTTAAATTTAATTATGAATAGGGCCAATTTGCCTTCTAAGGTATTTTGAGAGTTTTCCTTCCTTAGTATCCCATAAACCCAGCCTGTGGTTGTAGGTTCAGAAAGCTCATTCATTCCAGGAAATGTATACTTAATGTTGGCTGTTTGCTAGCTGTTCTCTAGGGTATACTAAGCCATTTCTGTTGCCAATAAAAATACCATCGAGAGACAAGCATTCTGGTGTATGCCTGAAACTCCAGCACTTCTAGGAGGCTGAGGCAAGAGGGTCACAAGTTCAGGCTCAGCTCAACATAGTGAGACTGTCTCACACAAACAGCAACGACAGCGGCCTGGTGAGTTGGAAGGGAAGGGTTGCTGTGGTTCCCAGCACAGGAGGTGCAGGGCTGAGGCCCGAGTATGGCGATGATGGTCTCAGCCAGCAAAGTCCTAAGAGGGAGCAGAACATCAAATTTCTGGAGACTGTGTGTGTGTGTGTGTGTGTGTGTGTGTGTGTGTGTGATCAGTGGGGGCCCCCCTGTGACCATGTCCGACCCTGTTCTCTTCCCAAAGGCTCCCTCCTAAACGTTGGGGCAGATTAAGTTTCAACTCCTAACACTGCTACAGAGCAGCATTAGATTTGGGTGCACTCGTAGTGATCCTTCTGTTTGCAGCCTCCCCAGTACCACAGTACCATCACTCCTGGACTTGTTTGCCAGGCCCAGATCCCCAAATTTAAAGACCCAATCCAAAAATGAGCATCTGAGATGAATACACACTTCTTAGATGAAGAAATACAACTGGAAATAAATATATAAAAGAAGGATATAGCTTCTTTATAGCTCAGTGGCACAGTGCCTGCCAGCAAGCTCAAGGTCCTGAGTTTGATTCCCAGCACCCCCCTCAAAAGGAATAAATGTTCTACATCACTGGTCATTCAAGAGATATAAATTAAAACAACACTGAGATTCCCTCTTACCCAGAAAGAATGGCTATCATCAAAAAATCAAGCAATATGCTTGCTTTGGCAGCACATATACTAAAATTGGAACGATGCAGGGAAGATTATCATGGCCCCTGTGCAAGGATGACATGCACATTTGTGAAGTGTTCCATATTTTTTTAAAAAATCAATAAAAAAAACAATTAAAAATGATGGCAGAGCTGTGGGGGTAAGGAATCTTCTCCACTATTGATGGGAGTATAGACTGGTGTAACCACTATGGAAATCAGTGTGGACATTCCTCAAAATAACTAGGATTGGAGGTCTCATTTGATTCAGCTATCCCCCTTCTGGGTATCGTCCCAGAAGTAAAATCCTACCACAGTGGCATATGTGCGCCCATGTTTATAGCAACACAGTTTGTAATAGCTAGATCTTGGAAACAACCCAAATGCCCATCACCCAAGGAATGTATAAAAGAGATGTGGATTTTATTTTTTATTTTTATTTTTTAATTTAAAAATATATATATATTATGAAGGGTCTGGGGAGATGGCTCAGTAGAATAAGTGCTTCCCTGGCAAGCGCAAGGGCCTGAGTTCAATCTATGGTTCCATAACAAAACAACAAATATATATTATATATATATATATATGGAGTATTACTCTATCATAAGAAGAATAAATTTGAGGCATTCCTAGGTAAATGGATGCACCTTGAGACCATACTCTTAAGTGCAATAAATCAGACTCATGTGTAAGCATCACATTGTCTCCTTAGGTAAGAAACTGAAAGAACTAAAACATACAATAAAGGGGCCAGGGAGATAGCTTAGTAGAATAAGCATTTGCCTGGCAAGCACAAGGGCCTGAGTTCAATCCCCGGTTCTGCAAAAAAATAAAATAAAATAAATAAAAACAAAAACAAAACCATATAATAGATAATGTGAAATGGGAAGAAATTGTTCAAAAGGAAAGGAAAACTAGGGTGGGAAAAGGGGAAGGGCCGGGGAAATGGCTCAGTGGAATAAGCACTTACCTGGCAAGTGCAGGATCCTCACTTCAATCCCTGGTTCCGCCAAAAAAAAAAAAAAAAAAAAAAAAAAAAAAAAAAAAAAAAAAGAGGGAAGGAAGGAAGAGGAAAAAAGATAAAATGGAAACAAAGCTTTTATTTTTTTATTTTTTCATTTGTAAAAATTTTTTGGCAGAACCACGGATTGAACTCAGGCCCTTGTCCTTGCCAAGGAAGCGCTTATTCCACTGAACCATCTCTCTGGCCCCAATAAAGTTTTTAAACAGGGAGAGGAAGACAGGTTGAAAGGAGGAGGGAGGAGGGAAGGGAAAAAGAGGAATCAAAATACATCACATGTAATAATATGTTATTGGAGGAGATAGTTCAGCCGCCCAAGCACCTGCCTGGCAAGTGCAAGGTCCTGAGTTTAATTCCTGCTACCAAAAATAAATATAGATAGACATAGATACCATGTACAAGTACCAGTTTCCTATGATGAATATGACCATTCTGTGTATTGAATACTCTGGTGTGCAGTAGTTACTAAAATGTGTTTGATAATTAGGTTTCTAGAATTACTTTGACAGTTTTTACTAAATGTCATTTAAGTTTATTGGTACACCTTAGATATATACAATAACCGTATTTCTCCCAAGGCCTCTTTCTCGAAACACAGTCACTGTGCCCACTGCCCCCTCTGCCTTGGGTACAGGGTACAGGGCTGCGTCAGCTCACCCCGTCTGAAGGCTTCAGTTCTGAATGATTGGAGAGAACGGCAATCTCCATTTCCACAAAATATGCAAGCGACTAGCTTGAGGGTGTCTTTCTTTCACAGCGTCAAGCAGGGCGACATCTTCTGCATCCAGGAGCCAGCCCAGCATGTGCAGGTACAGCAGGCAGGGCAGGCGGGACACACACTGGCTGAGGGCCTTGATAGTGCTGGGCTGAGCTGTGAGGCACTCGGAGAAGTGCCTGGAGATAGCCAGCTCTCTCAAATTGGGCAGGTTGTCCAGGGCCTGAAAGAAATTCCTGTAGCCATCCTGTGTAATCTTGTGATTGACTGAAAGATTTAGGTCCTCGAGTTTCTGGAAACCTCCACTGATTGATACTTTGGCTACAGAAACAAAACATGAGAACATAATCATAAGGACTTTTTTTTTAGTACAGGGTCTCACTACACAGATTGGACTCTTAGTAGTCCTCCTGTTTCCAGCCTCCCAAGTGCTGGGATTACAGGTGCGCACCATCACACCCAGTCTCAGTCACTGTCTCCGTGTACCCTGGGGGCGAGGGAGGCACAACATGTGGTGCTGGGGTTGAACCCTGGTCCCTGTGACTGCCTAAGCAGGGGCTTTAGTACGCTGAGCTATCTGGTCGGCCCATAAAGACTTTTATTCCAAGCCGTGGACAAGGTTATCTGAGTCGGCCTCTTTTGATACAATTATCAGTAAAGGAAGAAATGCTCCAAGTGCTATTTTTTTTCTTTCTTTCTTTTCTTTTTCTTTCTTTTTTGAAATGGGGTCACTATGGTATAGTTCAGATTGGTCTTGAACTCACAGTGATCCTCCTGCCTTAGCTTCCCAAGAATGCTGGAATTATAGGTGTGCACCATTATATCCAGCTTTCTTTGGAGTTTTTGTCTCTCTCTCTCTCTCTCTCTCTCTCTCTCTCTCTATA